TGAAGATTCATCCGAGTTTGGATGGCAATGATAATATTAAGCAAGCGAATAATGTCAAGGTACATGGTTACCTTTGGTTAGAATGATAGAATGCTTAAGAACTTAAATCTTGTTGTAAAGGAAAATTGTTATTTTAGCAACTTATTGAATGAATGTTTCACTTAGGACTAAAAAACCACAAATTGTGGGAAAGCCTCCATTGTATAATAAATGCTGGATTTCTAAGAGATTTTGTTGATTCGTTTGATTCATGCTTTATCTTGTTATTATTGTGAATTTGTGGAAGTAATTAGAAATGATCAAGGCACTTATTTATATTAAGCACAACCAAGCCCAAATGCAACTTACCCGTGAGCAGAGAGAATTCATTAACCCCCTTGAGCCTAAATAATGTGAATCTCAGTTTGAATTTTGTGAGATTCTAAAAATTTTCTTGAACCCTTGAATTTTGTGTTAATTGTCCTCTTTACCATAAAAAGCTAAGAGCATTTACTTGAGGGTTTAGTAAAAGCAAGTTGGGGAGAATGAAAAAGAAGATGGTAGGTTGCTACAACTTTTGAAAAATTCAAGCAAGCATTGGAAAAATTCTTATGTGAATATGAATGTTAAAAAAAAAGAGAAAAATAATGCTTGCTTGGAAAAGAAAAGAAAAATAGTGAAAGAATAAGTTGTGAAATAAGAGTTGGGAAGGTTTTCAATTGAGAAACAAGTGGAATGAAGTTGGGATGTGTAAATAACTTGTACAGTGAATGTCTCTTTTGCATCGGCAATTTTGTTTCAATGGCCTGAGAAATGTCCCTTGTTTATAAACCCGACCAAGCTACCACCGTAAAAGACCTTAGTGATCTTCTTGTTTCCATATTTTCATTTTTGATTGTTAGATATTGTATGAATTAGATTCATATTGACATTGTTTGTTAGGTGAGTGAAATTGTCCTCGCAATTGCAAACACGTAATTTCTTCAATCCTTTTTCGAAGAGGAGAGATAGGGTGATTCATTCAAGAAGACATAGTTGTTGATTGATGCACGTTTTGAAAATTGCTTTAAGACTTTAGTTCTTGTGCATTATTTGAATTTTAGAATTTGGAGCAAGTGCCTGGTTGCATTCCTTGTGTTTGAGCCATTTGATCCATTCTTGGGGAAATCTTAATCTTGAGCAAATCCTCTTGTTTCATTAAGAGGCATACTTTGCTTGAGGGCAAGCAAAGATCTAGTTGGGGAGAGTTGTTACATGCCAAACTTTTCTTATTTGATCTATGAAATGTGGGCATCTTTCATTACATTTTGTAGAGAAAGTGTTAGAATCATTCTTGTTTGTGTTGATTTGCATCATTAGGTGAAAATACCTTGGCTACTTTGATTCGTGTGCTATTGTGCAGGAATTAGGCATGAAAGTTTGAAGAGTAAGACACAAAAATTATGACAAGAAAACCAAGGCAGCATGCAAACATCAACAAGTTCGCACAACGAACTTGCCAGCAAAAGCCATGACAACCATGGTAATGTACATCCAGAAAGAAAAGAGGCCTAAGTTCGATGTGCGAAGGAGGCAGCGGGGAGGAAGCGAATGCCTAGAAAACACCCCCAAACTTGAGGTAGTAAGTATTTGGACAAGAATTTGTTGTACGAAGTTTGCAGCGAAGCCTTCGCACTGCGAAGGATTCTTCGCACAGCGAACATGTGGAAATTTCTCAAGGGCGTCTTCACTGTACACAGACACTTCAACTGCCAATTTGCATTGTTCGCTAGGCGAACACTTTCTTCGTAGTGCGAACATGACAGCTCAACAACATGTCTATAAGTAGTATGTGGTACTTTTTGGGAAAATATCTTTTTTCTTGTACTTTTCTTTTTAGAGATTTTTCAGAGCTAAAATCCTAGTTTCTCAATTTATCATCATCTCTTAGCCATCTTTGCAAAAAGAAGGTGGATTCCCATCCAATCTCGATTATTCGACTCAGATGTTGATCAACCTTCTTCTGAAACTTGTTGCTCAAGCTATCATGGAAATGGGTGGCTAAAACCCTTATTTTGTCAAGGTTAGAGGTAGCTAGTTCAGATTTTATGTATTCTTATTGATCTTTTGTTTATGAACAAAGCTTTGATCAATATAGATGAAGTTATTTGCCATCTTTTGTTATATTTATGGTTTGAATTTCTTTAGACATGAACTTTTCAAGTCTTGACCTAATTTCTTCATCTATCAACTATACAAACTCTAGACATAGGTTTGAAAGTTGATATTCGCTTTGTATTGATCTTAATGATTATTGTTTCGAGTGTTATCTAAAGAGATCATTTAACGGTCAAAACAATAACATTCCCGAAATCACTTTAGAAATGAACGGTTTTGCGAGGATACGCAATTACGTTGATCAAAACTACGTTCACATATTTGATTGGTTGGGTACATTTATGACGGATTAGTGAACCCTAATCTTGGCATACTTTTTATCAAACTAAGTCCAAATTTTATTCTGTTTTATTTCTACAAACTCTTATTGCAAAAATAGAAACCATTTAAAAAAGACCCTTCTTAAATCATTAAACCATTGAACGCAAACATCATATATTCTCATCAATCCCTGTGGATACGATAAAACACTACCGAAAAATACTTCTAACAGACCTCGCATAGACAAACAGAAAAATGCCTTCAATAGTACTGCACCAAACTGAAGAAAATAAAATAAATGAAAAAACTAATAATTCAAAAATAAAATAAAATAAGAAAATAAAAACAAAAAATTAAACGCTGCACAAGCGTTGCCTTGTTGGAATTATCAACAAAACCCGACAACGACGTCAAAAACTCGATGACTTCTCGACAAGTGTACTGATAGTGTCGAAGTAATAAAATAAATATTGTATCCACAAGGATTGCTATTTAACAAAACCACGATTGTGGGAATAATAAAAGTAACAATGAGGGAGGGAATTTTGATTTATTTCACGAAAAGTAATTTTTTTTTGAATTCAATACGAGAAAAATGACTAGGTTTTACCGTGACTCCCTTGTTAATCCCCTGTTGATGTTTAGTACATTAGACGAATGGTAAATTCGTTATATTTTTACGGTGAATTAACAAATCCACTATACTCAGTCCCTTCGTGTATAGCTTACTAATTTCTACTAGTGACTTCCTATCCCTATTCGGTTGGACAAAGTGAAATTAGGCATTATTATAGTGTGTAAATTCATAAGTCACTACAAGTGGCCTCCTATCCTTATTCAACTAGCGAAAGTAGATTGATTATCCTAATTTAGACTCATAGGTTTATGATCACTAATCCTTACTCGTTTAAGCTCATATTATCAACGGGTCCACAAATAATAAGCATTAAGAATAAGGAATTAGAAATATAACATCAAACTAAAAATATAATCCATAAGTTTAAAACAAGTTCATCGGGTAAAACCTAATCTACATAAATTTTGCTACTTATTGTAATACAATAAAAATCCAAGAGTTGAGAAGATAATTGCATGTGAAATATTTGAAGAGTTTGGTCTTTAATGGTTCCAATGCTCTCAAAACTGCCTTCTTGGGGCTCTCTGCCGTCACTTTAGAGTAAAAAACACAAAACCCTTCAAAAGATGCGAAAAAACATTAAACATGACATCCTCACATACGACTTCTATTACCTTTATGCCCTTACTATTTTTTTTTATAGATTTTCCAGTGTGTTTATCGGAATTTTCCGATAAAAAATCAATGATTTCTGAAAAAAAATTCAAATACCAGAATTTTTTGAAAATTTTTTTTTTACACTATTAGAAGTTTCAAAATTTTTGGTAAACTATGACACCTTTTAAAGTTTTCGATAAAAGACATTTCGAAATTTCCAATAATATTAAAATGTTTTATTTTTCTTATTAAATTTGAACTACTGAAATTTTAAAAAATTTAAAATAAAGATATCAAATTTATCAAAAAAATCTAGTATGCTAATTATTTTTCTCTAAAACAAATATATCATATGGACAATTTAAAAATAAACTATTTGAAATTTGATTGTTATCTAAAATGTTGAATGAGCTATCAAAATTTCGTTCGTACTTTTGAATCAAATTTTTTTATGGACAAATTGAAAATTATGAAAATATGTGGAATGTCATATTTAATTAGAGGTTGACGTTAAATTCTTCAAAAATCTTCTTTTAAAGTTATCAGAATGCGTCAAAAAAGCTTAAAATAAATGTTCATTACACTCTCGATGAGAAGTATCCTGCCTGCGATGGCTTCTATCGTACCCACGATGAGGACCTACTATGAGCTGCGATGTTGCGCGAGAAAACCATTAGCTTTTCATCGTTTTTTACCTTTTTTTTCCACAAATTTTCACTATATCCATAAATCAGTGTGTACCCACAAAGAAACTATCATTGCCAACTCATTCACCACAAATGCTTATACCTGACGACGGTTTTTTTTGGGTATTAAACTAACATAATATGAGGTACTCCACTATTAGGTACAGTAATAGATACTCCCAAACCCAATTCTCAAATAGTAATATATTCAAAATAAACGGGCACGTGTGGAAATTGTCAAACCTAATGATTAAATATTCTCATTGGTATAATTCTGATTTGAAAGCCCCCAATAAAATTTAATTCAGATAACCTGAAAATGATCAAGACATTCTAGAAAAAGGTTATCCACTTGTTCTATAGTAAGGCTTTAAAAAATGTTGATTACCTCCACTAATTTTTAACTTTCGTACCTAGAAAAAACCCTTAATATAATCATAAACAATATTCAAACTTCAACAGCAAACGTATGAACTACTATTAACTATAGAATAAAATAAAGTAGAACAATAAGACCAACAACTAGACGAGGAATATATGTGTTATATGTGGGACCGTAGGAGACTTATAAGTTGTCTATATAAAGAGCTTAACTTGTTGGCTTAGTCTTAAGACCCTTTTCATACACATTTTTAATCTCTCTTTTGCTTTTCCACTGCAACTATATATCTTGCTTAATAGAGATGAATTTTGTGAAGAAGTGTAAGAGGGTATTGGGAAGCAGCAAGAGATTGTGTGATCCACAAGACAGTACTTGCAGTGGCTGCAGCTATGGCAAATTATCAAAGAAGTGCCACAAAAAGCAAAAAGACAGTCATAAGAAACCGCCAAATGGTTGTCTTTGTGTCTATGTTGGACCTGAGAGACAAAGATTCATAATCAAGATCAAAATATTCAATCATCCTTTGTTCAAAATTCTTTTAGAGGATGTTGAGAGTGAATATGGTTATAGAAATGATGGTCCTTTGTGGCTTCCTTGTGATGTTGACATGTTCTGTGAAGCACTTGTGGAGATAGAGGGTCACAAACATAGCGCAGTTTCACAATATTCTCCATTGTCTTGTCGTTCTAACTTGAGTTCATGTGATGATAATTACGAGGTTTTGGTATGAAGCTGTAAAATTACTTGTTGTAGATATGTATATGTCACATAATATAGACTCCTTTTTTTTTGGGTAAATTCTGATAATATTGATTTTGTAAACATATTTTCCTTCCATGATGCATGCTTCTTTAGAAAAATGGATAAAACTATAAGACTTATTCTACATGATTTGAAATTTCCTCATAATTACATTTTAATTAAAAAATACTGATTAATCTAAATAGGCAAGTGTGAGGGGTAAAGTCTCAAAGGAGTAGATTTTTGCCGGTTGAGAATGTATTATGAGATTTTCGCTAACTTTTAATTTTATTATAGCTAATACATAGTTTTAGAAAAAAATATAACCAATTTATCAAATATAATATGAGTTACATGTTCTCGTATAGACTTGGAATGTTAAATTGTATTTAGAGAGAATTTGACTATTTAATATAATATAGAATATTGAATATGAATGTAAAAATCAAGAAGAGAGAGAGAAAGAAGCCTCATAGAAAAGAAGAAGCCACGTGGAGGCTCCATAGATTAAATGATAACATTTGAAAGGTAAAATTAAAGAAATTGTTAACACAAGATCTTAGGAGGAGATTTTGGGTTGATAAAAAAAATGCAAATGATATAAGAGATTGGAAAAGTAACAAGAAAGGCATTCAGAAAATTAAGAAGTTTTAGATCTAAGGGTAAATATTGTGGTGGTGGAACGAAAGTATTTTAAGTAAAATTAAATCAAAAAATAAATGTTTTAAAGATTGGTTTATAAGTGGAGATATTGAAACTTACAAAATTATAACAAATCTAAAAAAAATAGACTAAGAAGGTAGTGAGAGATGCAAAGACTCAAACTTTTTACAGATTAGGAATCAAAGAAGGAGAAAAATCGATTTATAAATTTTTTAAAGGAAGAAAAAGAAAGACAATATTTGAATTAAATAATATGTGATAAAAACGAAAAAGAAAAAAAAATGTTGTTCAAGAAAAAATATAAAAGTTAGATGACAAATTGTTTAATGTAGGATATGAGCTCTTATCGAGCTCTAATAGGCTAGACATTAGATAAGAGGATAGGAATTATAGACATTATTAATCACGAAGTCCTTTAATTTGATTTAATATTTCATTTTAGTGTCTTATCTAAAAAACGTTACATGTTAGTCCCTTAAAAACACTCTCGTTAGACGAATTGCTTATTTTTGTTAAATTTTGTTGACGTGACATGACAATAAAACCTTCGAAAATCGTTAATAATGAGTCAATAATGAGTTAAAAATATGAGTCAACAGTATTAAAAATTGATATATTATTTAAAATGCAGAGTTTTATTTTTGAAGATTAAAACCTTCGAAAATCGTTAATAATGTGTAAAAACATAATTCTCCATAATCGGTTCTCAACACATAGTAATTAGAAAAAAAAGGATTTCCTATACATCGACAAAGAAATTAACTCAGTTTTACACTGACTTACAAGTTTACAACATTTTAACTGATGTTGTGATGCAAATAGTCGGTTCGCTATGTTTTCTATTACATATGCTACATAATTTTGTAAAAGAACAAAATAAATCACGAATCTCTGAACTTCGATCTACAATAAAACTTGATGTGAAATATTAAGCTTGGCTCATGATGTACTATCCAGATCTTGAATCAACTAGTATTTCTTCACCTACATTTACAAAGAGCAGAACATTGGCAATAACACCAGTGTCAAGAGTTGTTGGCATTGTTCCACTTGTCAATTCAATCAATTTTCATTTACAATAAGTTCTACAAGGAAACGTAAGACAAAAGACAACATAATACAAAGGAAGCAAACGGAAAAAACACACTAGGATATTAAAATTGTTTTTTATTTTGAACACAAATGCATTACATAAACCAATCCTACCCTCTTAGTATTCAGTGCATCATAGCCTCTTTATGATAGAAATAAATTCATAGAGGAAATGATAGAGTTACATGGAATATTGTGCGACTAAGAGGTCATGAGTTAAAATCATGAAATGAGACTTGCAAATGTCAAAATTTGTATTCCATAGAGTATCTTAAGCTTGAAACTAATAGGGACATCTACATCTTTAACCTAAAAAACATGCAAAGTTGCAAACACACTTTAATCACTCGAGGATCACTCGAGGATCCTTGTGCTATTATGCATAGCAATATATGCATAAATAAGTATTGAATTTAATATGCAAAGTTGCAAACACACTTTAAAGTTGAAACATCAACTACCACAAGAATACGCGTGTACTTGCCAATGCTTTGAGTAAGTGTTCAAATTATTTAACAGCAGACTAAGACTTTAAGTAAAACACCATTTGAGAAAAAAGAATACATTCAAAGTACATATTGTATCAAAATTAATAACCCCACATTATGTATATACCATAACATGTATATTGTACTTTTCACGCCAATTGATTGTGAATTTCTTAACTATAAATTGTTGATAAACAAGCTACAATAACCTTAACATCAACAACATCCTGCATATATCAAAGATTTATCCAATTTAGTGAGATACAAACAAAATTAGAACATGTACCCAAGAAAGCATGATCTTCTGATATTATTACCTCAAGTTCTGATATTAACGGTGATATTGCACGGTAAGCAGGATCTTCTGTGCTTTCTATCACAAGCCTTACATTTGTATGCCCCTGATTGGATTTTCAAATCCACAATCAACACAACAAATTGAAAAAACAAGAGTTTGCGATTTATGAGCTTTTAAAGAGAAGAAATAGTTAACCTAGAAGTAGTATCTCTATTAAATAACTAAAGTGAAACATTAAATTAAATTAAGGGATCAAAACATGTATTAAATCAAATTATAATTACTAACATCAAATTAAATAGTATCAGATAAAAGAAGCATTGATAAAAATGAGAAATAGCAAGACAATTTGGCCAAACAACTTACATAATACAATGTAGGAATGTTTTGGAGATATATGCATTAAATGTTTCACCAATTTTTTTTTAAAAATGAGGTCAAAGAAAATGTCGGATGAATGGAGAAGTAGTGCATCTTTGGAGTTGGAGGTTGAATATGGTACAAAATTATGTATCTTTTTCCATTTTCAATTTGCAAAACTACAAATTATACATATTTGTAACCGACTCCTACCTCGACCATTTATTCCCTTAAAGTAATATCTATTTATTAGACACTTTTTTTACACTTCTAAAAAACTTTTATCCTCGATCATAAGTGAATTCCTAACTTCTCACGCCTTATCCGAATCTCCAAAAATATATTCACACTTTTTTTTTTTTTGCAAACCTCCATCATATATTCTTCAACTCATATGGATCAAGAAAAAGACACCAAACTTGCAAGAAGGAAACACAAAACACATTTCTTTGACTTCTTCTTCACATTTTCGGTATGTGAAACTCCATTAATATTATGAGTTATGTTATTGCTGTTATTACTGTTATTTCTATTCAAACTAGTTGTCTTGTAGAGCTTGTTATTTTTCTTATTGTTTATACAAACCTATTGGTTTTCTAATGTTGTTTTTGTTGAGTTATGTTGTTATTTTTATTGATTTAATAAAAAGTTTAGTGTTATTATTGTTGTTGTTATTAAGATGAGATTAAAGATTTTATGCTGTTATTTTTAGTTGAAGTTATGTTATTATTTTTGTTGTTACAAATAAAAAGTTTGTGTTATTATTGTTGTTTTTAAGATGAGATCAAAGGTTTTATGTTGTTATTTTTGTTGAGTTATGTTATTATTTTTGTTGATACAAGTAAACAGTTTGTGTAATTTTTGTTGTTTTTGTTGAGTTATATTGTTGTTTTTGTTTATATAAGTAAAAATTTTGTGTTATTGTTTTGGTTTTTGTTAGTTATGTTGTTGTTTTTGTTGATATAAGTAAAATATTTGTGTTATTATTTTTGTTGAGCTATATTGTTGTTTTTGTTGAGAAGACTAAAAATCTTTAAATTTTATATCATGTGCATAAAGAATTATAAGACAGTGATATAAATTGATGACTTTGCGTTTCTTTATAACAAGAAGACTAAATTCCTTTCTAAGGTTTTTTTTATCACTTTACACTGTTCTTGACATTTTGTGCTTACCAAAATTAAATTTATTTTATCGATAATCAAATTTTAATTTGTTATTTATAAATTTAGTTATATTTTAAACTTTTAAATATTTGGAAAGAAAAGCAGTGACAACATCATTTAGAGAAGAATTGAAACTCAAAAATAAAATAGTAAACACTGTAAATTTGAAAAGGAAACATAACATTGTGTTGAGGCAACTTGGAAACATAAAGTTGTGTTGGCTTAATATACAACATGGTATTTTCTTTTCAAATTCTTATGATTAATCTTAAAAATATGAAAAGGAAACATCATGTTGTATCGAGGCAACACAGTTTTATGTTTTCCTCAATACAAGATTATGTTTCCTTTTTAAATTCACAAAATTGACCATTTTGTTTTTTTTTCATAACTCTTCTCTAAATGATGTAATTTTTATATTTGTTTGAACAAATATTTTTGATTTGATAATATTTCTCTAATAATAAATAAAAAATGGTTATAATTTAAAATAAATTGCATTTAAGCAAATGGTCAAGTCATTGTAAAAGTGATATAAGATTTAATACATTTCCACACGGTTGTACTTATGAACCAGGGTAAAAAGTTATCATAAACATCTATCATCTCGGTTATAAGTCCAAACATGGTGAAAAAACGTCTTGTAAATTCCAAAATGTCATTGATGGGATTCAAACCCAGTAGCAAGTATTTTTCACATCAATTAGTATTTCAATTGTGGTGGAAAGTAGCGCACTTTCTATCACATCCTTCGTTAATACTGATCATCAATCATGATGAAATACTTCTTCCAACTATGGTAATAAAAAAAATTTGTAGTAGTTTTGTGACCAAGCAGTAGCTAGCTACATTTAAAATTTCCTCCTATGCGGCCAAAATTTGGTATTCAGTATCTTTCCAAAACTTTTTTACCTTGACCACC